CTTTCGCTTTATTAGATTGTAGTACCTTTTATGTCAACTTTAGTTTTTTTATTCATTCGTAAGTTTATGTGCTCATTTTTTACAGAAGCGGTAGCTATAGAATTTCCAACAATTAATGAAACCACATTTGGTAGGAAAGCGGGACCATGGTTGGCCCAGGCCATCTTTCGTATAAAAAAGTAAGTATTATTTAATACATTTTAATGTTATACAAGATTTTTATAGCAAATTTGTCTAAAACACGCACCTGAGTCAAAGATTTATATATAATAAGAAGTCATTAAATTTCAACATTTATAATACTTTATTAATGTTCACATGAATATTGAAATAATTTTAACATTGACAGACATAACAGCAAAAAGGAAAAAGCTGCAGATGACATTTCAGAAATATCTGGTGAAGATGAAGACGACTCATCTGCAAACGAAAATATTGGTGCCCATGATGACGGCTCATCTGATGCAAACGAAAATAGCGACCGAGGTTAAAAAACTCATTTATCTTACTATTATAATATTATGTACTGGATGTGCAATTTTATTATTTTTATATTATTTAAACTTAATACACCATCCCAAGGAGAACAGAAAAACATTATATGTTGACCAAATTGATGTTACTTTATTTATTTTTTTAATTTTTAAAATCAATTTTATTAATTTGATTTTCTGTTTTCCTTGGAATGTATTGTTTTTGGAATCTCGATTATTTCATATTTGAGGGGAATCTTTTTTGAATGAAATATTAACGGTGATGAGAAAAGGCGGTTTAAAATGTATTTAGAGCTGTAATATCAGGCACTGTGAGCTTATCACGGAAACTATAGATAATAGATAAACAGTAATGAGATAACTGCTGACACGAAAAAAGAGAAAACTGAAATTGCAAATTGAACATTGTGAACAGATGTGTACAGAATGTTGATCTGGACGAATGGTTGTTCATGCTCGCTGGTTTCAACCTTCGACCAATATACGTAATTTTCGTTTGTAGCGACACCGAGTACATGGCTTAAGTTTGCAAATTCTAAGTATATTTTCGAGTCGAGATATTTCGCGAATCTCCATTGTCGTAGAGGGTTCCATCGTCAGCTGAATATCGAGAGACAGATTTCGCATTTTTATAAAATGTAATGTAAATGTATATGCGCTATCATACTCGCGAGTTTAGCTTATCATGGGCTTTGCAAGTTCTCTTCTCGTCTTACGAAATGTAATTAATTTCGCGTATACAACTCTACGATTCTGGAAAAGTTACATATTCTTGATTGCGTATGCCATAAATAAGACTCGTCAATATAACATGAAAAAAGAAATATTTAGGTAAACGTAATACGATCTTTTTTGTGTCACTGTTAATGCAAAGATACTGTAATGAATTAAGCTAATGTGCGATTTTGTTGATCAAATAATCTGTCGCCCACTGCATATTAATTTGATCGATCGGAATCGCATACGATTGCGTCATAGTCTAATATTACGGTCCCCTTTCATTTTATTATCTATTTAATATACAAACGTAAATGGGTTCAATGTAATAACCATTGTTTCGCCAAACAATCTAATCCGCGAAATGTTCCCATTTACAAAGTACGAAAAATCTGCTCTTATTCTATTAGCTTTTCCTGTTTTGCTTACGGCTATTCTTTGAAAATTTTTTTGGCAATATTACATAGACTAAGAAGAAAATACTTTGTCTTACTGCGTTGTAATTGGAAACGTCGATAGATCCATTTTATGGAGTCTATTTTGCGAAATGTATTTTATTCAGCTTTCGAAAGAGTCAATAAGCTAATAAGTTGCTAATAAGCAAGCGTTCAAATTTTTTGATTTTATAAAAATTTTACCAACTATTCTATTCCAATCAAAAATTATTTCCAACCAAAAATTCTTACTGATCTTTAAATGTGATCGATGCACGATGTTCGTACATTTCACCCATACAAAAACTTGTAAACGAAAACTCGTCCATTAATATTAATATTAAAAATCGACAAATTTGCGTGCTGTATTTGACTCTTTCTAAAGAATGATCGATGTTTATATGAGAAGTATATAAACTTAGAAAAAAGTGGGCTTAAAAAAATAAAAAAAAATGAAGAGATGAAAGAAACATTGATTAGCAATGTTATGTGAGCAGACTGAAGAACGTGGTAATTTTATAATATTTACCTCTCTTGCAGTCATACCTATATATTGCCTATATTCTAAATTACAGACTTGTATCCTTTTCTGAAAAAACTGCTGGAAAATAAGTTAATGAGTATGTTCGTGGCGCGTTTTACAGTTGCAAGTTGCCAAAGTAAACATTTTTTACTTTGGTATATTTTACCACGTCTTCACGTCTGTGCTCCATGAGGTATATCCAAGTGCGGTTCCCACAACTAATCTTGGATATAACAAAGGAGTGCTCTTGATATGAAAGTAAGCGAGTGTAATTCGTGCGACGTAGAAGTACCTACGAAAGATTTCGGAAGTAATTGTTAATATATCCGGGTATATGCAAGAATTGCGGAGAATTTTTTTTAAGCACAAATAAAAATTGATCATATGGTCCATTAGACGGGCATAGCAATATCTTAGTGCAAAAATAATATTTCTTGTGATTTTTAAATACATTTTCTGATTCTTCGAAGTATACGCGTTGTGTTACTTTCGGTCTTAACGCAGCTCTTAAATTGAATTAATTGGATCTTTCTCCTCCTCCCTCCCTCCCCTCCTCTTTTTTCTCCTCCTTCTCCCTCCCTCCCTTCCCTCTTCCTCCTTCTCCAGCCTCCCCTCCTCCTCCTACTCCTCCTTGACAATCACTTGACAATCAATTTAATGTGTGATATTACTTTTCTGATTCAATTTAAGAGCTGTGTTGAGACTGATAGTAACCGCGTCAATTCGAAGAATTAGGAAATATATTTAAAAATCACACATGAAACATTATTTCAGCATAAAGGTCTTGCTATGACCATCTATGGACCTTGCTCAATTTTCAATTGCGTTAGTCAAACAGCGGTCTTGTCAATGCCTTAAAATACAATAAGTTAAATTTTTTTTCTTTCTTATATGTACTTTATTTTGAACTGCAAATGTTTATTTTGTTATACATTATATATACAATGTGTACAATATGTACAAAAAATAATATTTAGTAATAAAAAATTAAATATAACAAATTTTGAAAATTATTAAAAAATCCTTTCAATGTAAACGTTTCCCAAATATTAAAAAAACATTTTTTTAAATGTTAAAACAAACGTTTATTAAACGTTAAAATAATATTTTTCTAAACGTTAAAATAATATTTTTCT